GAGCGGCGGGAGGTCCGCGGAGGCGGCGGGGCTCGCGGCTCACGGGACGTGCCTGAAATCAGTGGAGACAGCAGACACCCAGCTAAGTGGAAATCACAGGAATCCAGGCGGGGGCTGGGTCCAGCAGCGGCGCGGGCCTCGGGGTGTCTCCGCGTCACCCCCCGGCTCCCCCTGCACGCTGACAGACCCCCAAGCATTGAAGCGGGCTTCCAGCCCTGCAGTTACCTAGAAAGCTGGCTTGGAAATTGTCACAAAGCTTCACACACACCTAAACCCGAGAAAAACATAAAAGGAGCGTGGGGGTGCAGAGTGGCCCGTGTAGGGAGAAGAAAGGCAGCTCGTGCAGCGTGAACGACACGAGGTCCCCACGAGGCTCCACGCATTCCCTGGTCCCCAGATGTGGCCGGGCGATGAGCCGCGCCAAGAACGTGCCGGCACGCGCGCGCCCGGGGCTGGCGCGAGGGCGGAGCGGCAGCCTCGGCTTGCCAAGGCGGCCCCGAGGCTTCCAGGAATCCCTCCCCGACCCCGGAGGGCGAGGAGGCGGCCCTGACCCCAGTCTGCAGTGGAAACCTTCCACCCGCTTCCTGTCCCCGAGTTCCAGCGCCAGCACCCCGAGGGACTGGCTGCCCGCGGGCGCCGGAGGACGCGCCGCAGCTCCCCGGACGCTACCTCCGGCCGGTCGGCTTCATGGCCGCAGAGCCTCTCCCGGCGGCGGATTCGGTGGCCGTCGCTGCTGCTGCTGCTGCTTCAGCGCCCGTCACCTCATTCCATTTTCCATTCTCGATGTTATTCTGTGACATATAACCGAGTCACCCGGGCAGCGCCGATGTTCCGAGTGCGTCCATTGGCCACCCCAACAAAGAGGGGCGGGTCCCCGGACTCGGGATTCTACAACCCCGAGCTTCGCGACGCTCTGATTGGCTTCGGGGTTCCGGGCGGGAGGGGAGGGGAGTTGGGGAGCGGGGCGGCCACGCCAAACCCGATCGCTGTCGCGTCCTGGGAGCCGCGCAGGGCCCGGGCGTTTGGCCACCGGACTTCAGACCGAGTTTCCCCCGGGGTCGTGGCACTTGAGGGATTGCAACTAACTGTGGAAAGCGGGAGGAAGGAGAGCCAGCAGAAGTGACCAGGAGGTACAGGAGGGCTTGGCGTTAGAACAGCATTCCCTGAGGGTGGGCTGGACACAGTCGTCTGCCCCTGCCCGCGGTGGTGGATGGTTCAAGGAAGGGGTGTTTATACGCATGCACAAATTCAAATCGTTAAAAAAAATTTTTAAAAATCCATATTACAAATCCCGCCAGATTAACATCAGCCGCGGTTAGTAAAGTCTCTTTGAAGCCAAGCTGATCTGTGACACTTGAGAGCCAGCCAGGCCCTTACTGCTCTGTCCCACGTACCGAGTTAGAGGATAGGATGGAGAGGTGCTTCAAAGCCATGGTGAAGTGGGTGGCCCTCCCCATTCACCACTTAAAGTGGAAAAGGCCCGGGACTGACCCGAAGGCCCAGCGCTAAGTCCAAGGTGGTCGCTCAGCTGTGTAACCTGAACAAGCCACTTCCCCGCTCTGGGCCTTAGCTTCTCTTGTGAAAAGCAAACCCCTCGCTCTCCAGGTCTACTGAGGCTGGAAGATTCTGTGATTCTCTGACTTCCTGTGGGCGCGTGGGAACGTGGCCATGGTAGCCTTTCTCTGCACTCCAGGCCAGCAGCCAGCTTTGAGAGGGTAAGGCAGCTGTCACAGCAATGCTAAGTGAACCTCCAGTTAAGGATAGAATCGTCAAAGCACTACTGATGACAGAATCAGTTTCTGGACGCTTAACCCTGCGAGTTGCCTTTAATGGAACTGCAACCTCTTTTCTGCAGGGGCGGGTATTGCGGGGCCAGTGCCAGCGGGAGCCCAGGAGTGCAGCTGAGAGGCCAGGACGTGGGCAAGGGGCCCTGGATTGGGGACCTAACCCTGCACTACTGCCCAAGGCGCCCAGAAGCCGTATCTAAGACTTTATAGATTGAATAATGAGAATAATAACCTAGGGCCGCAGAGCTGAAGGAAATTGGCCAATTCAGGAAATTAGCTGAATAACTCACGTGGAACAGACACACCTGAAAACACCCGGAAACGGACGCCAATGACCCCCACTAAGAACTGCCCCGATGTTTGTCTCCTGGTGAAAAGGAAAACCTCCCTCAGAGAATGGTCTGTTTTCTTTCTTTCCTTTTTTTTAATTGTGATTTAGACGAAGGTTTACAGAACAAATTAGTTTCTCATTAGACAATTAATACACATAATGTTTTGCGACTTTGGTTGCCAACCTCATGACGTGTCAACACTCTCCCTTTCTCGACCTTGGGTTCCCCATTTCCATTTGTCCAGCTTTCCTATCCCCTCCCGCCTTCTAGTCCTTGCGCCTGGGTTGGTGTGCCCATTTAGTCTTGTTTTGTTTTATGGGTCTGTCTAATCTTTGGCTGAAGGGTGAAACTCAGGAATGACTTCAGTACTGAGTTAAAAGGGTGTCCGGGGCCATACTCTTGGGGTTTCTGCAGTCCTTGTCAGACCAGTAAGTCTGGTCTTTTTTTGTGAGTTAGAATTTTGTTCTACACTTTTCTCCAGCTCTGTCTGGGACCGTTTATAGTGACCCCTGTCAGAGCAGGCAGTGGTGGTAGCTGGGCACCATCCAGTTGTGCTGGGCTTAGTCTAGTGGACGCTGTGGTAGCTGTGATCCATAAGTCCTTTGGACTCATCTTTCCCTTGTGTCTTTGGTTTTCTTCAAGGACACAAGTGAGACCAGTGGAATATCTTAGATGGCTGCTCACAGGCTTTTAAGACCCCAGACGCTACTCACCAAAGTAGGACGTAGAACATTTTCTTTATAAACTGTGTTATGCCAACTGAGCTAGATGTTCCCCAAAACCGTGGTCTCCACAGCCCTCAGCCCAGTAGTTCAGTCCCTCAGGGAGTTTGGATGTGGCTATGAAGCTTCTATGACTTTGCCTTGGTCAAGTTGTGCTGATTTCCCCAGTATTGTGTACTGTCTTAGAAAATGATCTGTTTTCTTATCCCAGACGTGCTTCCTCCCTTCTTTTTTCATTCATCTCTCAAATCTGTCCCTTTCTCCACGCTTTCCCGGAGTTTCAAGCCCAGGAGACAAGGGTTTCAGTGTAAAGACCTGTATACAGAGGATGAGAATTTGGCCAAAAAATCCCTCAGGGGGAAACAGCTCTCAAAGCTCAAGTGATGAGACCAATCAGTGAACTTGGAAGAAAGTCTGGCAGATGTCAGCTTCCCTGGATTCACTACAGTTACAATCCAACTACAATTACCCTATTAAAACAAGGCCTGGATTCTGCTTTCCCTGAATAAAAATCCTAGGAACCAGAGAGGGTTATTGATTCCTCTTCCTGCCTACAGATATCCGAGGGCTCCCAAACCGTTGAGGGGCAAAGTCTTTGCTGCTATTTTAATCTCCACTACTCTAATTGTCTGCTCACCTGTTCCCCAGAAAGGGGGAAGGGGGACAGGTGACAAAACATGTGAAGACAGCTGTGAGATCTGGCTACTTTTCCAAAGAGGTGCTAAGGAGGCTCCTGAAGTGAACTGCAGAGTCCCAGCAAAGGGTCTGTGAGGCAGAGGGGCTCCTTTGTTCAGAATTTCTTTACATTTGAGAGTTGGTCTAGTGGCATAGGCCACCAGTATTGTTCATTTCCTTCTCTATTTTGTGTTACATCACACTCAAATAAATCAGGCCAGACAGAGCATGGGTTTTGAAAGTTCAGTTAGTTAATAAGAGTGATGAAGCCATGCATACATACAATGGGACAGGGCCAACTGCGGCTTGAACAAGGATACGTGGTAGCTAGATACTCAACCTCTGAGAGCATGCTCTCTCCCATTTGTTGGATAACAACAAGCATAGCAGAGAAGTACAGTGGGAAGGTTTGGACAAGGATAGCAGGCTTCAAATACTACCCCATTATTCAAGCTGGTAGGGTTGCAAACATAAATAAGACAAAATCCTACCCTCATGGATCGTGTCTTAGTTATCTAGTGCTCTGTAGCAGAAATACCACAAGTGGATGGCTTTAACGAAGAGAAATTTATTTTCTTACGGTCTAGTAGGCTAGAAGTCCAAATTCAGGACATCACCTCCGGGGGAAGGACTTCTGTCTGTCGGCTCTGGAGGAAGGTCCTTATCATCAATCTTCCCCTGGACTAGGAGCTTCTCCATGCAGGAACCCTGGGTCCAAAGGATACGCTCTGCTCCCAGAACTGCTTTCTTGGTGATATGAGGTCCCCATGTCTCTCTGCTCGCTTCTCTCTTTTATATCTCAAAAGAGATTGGCTTAAGACACAATACAGTCTTGTAGATTTCATCAATATAACTGCCGCTAATCCATCTCATTAACATCATAGTAATAGGATTTACAACACATAGGATAATCACATCATATGACAAAATGGTGGACAATCACACAATACTGGGAATCATGGCCCAGCCAAACTGATACACATATTTTTGGGGGGCCACAATTCAATCCATGACAGATCGTATATTTCTAACCCCACCGTGTGCTGATGGTGCAATTTTGGGTAAGTTACTCAACATCTTTGAGCCGTACTTTCCTCACAAACTAGGTATCATAATACCTTAGAGGGATGTTGTGAGGATTCAGAGAGATGGGCTGTGTGAAAGCACCTGCTGTGGGCTTAATGGTTTTGATTTTTTTTTTTTTTAAAGACATATTTATTCAGCGTCATGATCAAACTATTACATTTAGCAATCAACAGCACTGGTGCAAAAGAAAGAAAAAAGCTACATTAAAACCCTTTGTTGGAATGCTTTACACTTTCCACAGAACAGAAACTAAAATAACCTGTTATACAATTAGTCACAAATACAGTCCTCGAGTTTTTTGCCCATGTGATTGTTGTTAGGTACTGTCGAGTCGGTTCCAACTCATAGCAACCTTATAGGACAGAGTAGAACTGCCCATAGAGTTTCCAAGGAGCAGCTGGTGGATTTGAACTGCTGACCTTTTGGTTAGCAGCCAAGCTCTTAACCACTACCCCACCAGGGCTCCATTTTTTGTTGTAACCTGAGCTTCCTGTCACTTTTCTGGCTCCCCTCTCCTGCTAAGCTTCGTTTCCTGGCAGTCATTAAAACCTTCTGCCACTGGCATAGCTACTGCTGCTGCTTGAACTGCCGTGGCCACCTTGGTTTCATGGTTTGGCGAAGTATTGACCTCCACCACCATAGGGTCCAGAGGTTCTGCTTCCAAACTTTCCTCCCTTCATGGGTGCAAAATTTGAAGATAGATTGTTGTAATTGCCAAAATCACTGTAGCTTCTGCCACCTCCAAAATTGCTTCCACTACCACCGCCAAAGCTGCTTCCTCCAATGTTACAGCTGCCACTCCCGCCATAGCCACTGCCCTGGTTTCCAGAACCCTGTCCACCACTTTCTCCAGAATAACCAGGACAACCTTCTCCACAGCCACCATCATTAAAATATCCATTAGAACGATCCCCCCTGCCTCCATATCCACCACCACCATGGCTGCCACCAAAACCACCTCACTCACTGAAGTTTCCTCCATGACCAAAGTTGTCATTCCCACCAAAACCTCCTCCACGGCCACCATCAAAGTTTCCAGAACCACTTCGACCTCTTTGGCTGGATGAGGTACTGGCCATCTCTCTCTTTGACAGGGCTTTCCTTACTTTACAGTTGCACCCATTCACAGTATGGTATTT